CAAACGGGGACAGTTTAAGTAAAGAACAAATAACAAGGGAATTGGGTGATTGGTTACGTGATTTGACATCACATAAATCTTTGTACGTGTGCTCCATCAATTAAGTCACCATAAAAAGGTGGTCCTACGTTTACGTTTAAATTCTGCTCCTAGAGCTGTGTGTTTTACTATTAAAATCACCCCAGGTTATGTAGGGGACACCTTGATATTCTGATCTTTGTCTAAATCCATTTCTGGTTTATGTAAAGAAGCTGTAATGAGGCATTACCTACAAAAGTTGTCAAAATTTTACTGCCTTTAGATTCTGCTCTTAATTACTGTGTCTTATTTCTGATTATTTTAACCTTTGAGGTGACCCAGTCCTTTCGCTTAAAGCCTTCCATTCTTGTTCTCCTAGTTTCAGACCAGTTCATTCTATGCTTACTCAGCCTAAAAGTTTTTAACTCTATCCTTTTGACTTCAGATTTCTGAAGGTAACCAGGCAAGATCATGAGTCTCTCTCTAGGAAGCATCAGAGTAATTGGTCCTATTGTCTGGCTGATTCCGTCTCCCATGGTACGGTTCCTTGGCCATTTTGCTCCCTTCTGCACATCCTTCACAGTGAGTGGATGCGTTGACTTGTTCACTTTGGACCTTTGGTGTACAGTGTGGTAGCAGAGGGAGGACTCTGGCTCTTTGTTTGCCTGTTAATAATAATATCCTTCTGTATTGGGTAAATGGTCAGCAAAAGAGATGTGAGGCTCTCAAAGGGTCAGGGCTTGTTTCTGGAATCTTTCTGGTGCCTGTAAAAGACATAAGTGTTCTTTTAATGAGTTACACCAGAAATAATTAACCCATGTGGGTTAATTATGTTAATGTGAGTCAAAAATAGCATGTCAGGTGGGAGTAGGGAAGGGATTGTGTCCCTGGACTCAGCACTGATGAGACCACAGCTTGAGAACTGGGTTCAGGTTTGGGTGCTTGATCATATAAAAGACATTGAGGGCCTGGAGCAGGTCCAGAGAAGGACAGTGAAGCTGGTTAAGGGTCTGGGGGCCATGTCTTATGAGGAGAACCTGAGGGACCTGGAATTGTTTAGTCTAGAGAAGCAGCTGAGAGGAGACCTTATTGTGCTCTACAACTCCCTGGAATGAGGTTGGAGTGAGGTGGGGGTTGGTCTCTTCTCCCAAGTAACTAGTGATAGGATGGGAGGAAATGGGTTTAAGTTGCATCAGGGAAGGTTTAGATTGGATATTAGGAAGAATTTATTTCCCGAAAGAGTCGTGAAGCATTGGAACAGAGAAGTGGTGGAATCACCATCCCTAGAGGCATTCAAAAAACATGTGGCCCTAGCACTTCAGGACATGCTTTAGTGGTCACGGTAGTGTTGGGTTGATGGCTGAACTTGATGAACTTAGAGGTCTTTTCCAACCTTAATGATTTTATTATAACACTTTCATATGACCAGCTGTCCAGCAAAGGGATTTTATTCTAGCTGCTCTGATGTGTACCTGACACCATTGCACTGGAGTATTATTTATTCCAGAATGGATGGGCCTGCAGGTCTGTCCTATGTCCTTACGTTAAACATTTTCCTTAGGCAGTCATGAAGACTTAAGTAGGGGTGCTGCATGCAGCAGGTTTGGGAATGGGAACCTCATATGAGCTTGTGAACAGGAATTTCAGGATTCCAGGCTCCCCTATGTGTGTAAATCAATCAAGTTTGCCTACTCATAAAATAAGGGTAAACCTGTTTTTATGGCAGCCTTGAGTTCAATGTTTGAAGCTTAGGTAAAGTTATGGCAACAGAGTGATGAAAGTCCTATGATTGCCACACGTGAAGCAGCTAACAGTAAAGGGTTTTGAAAATCAGGTGGACTTGAGAACTAGAACATTCTATTATTTGATGTATTCAATTTTTTCCTTATGTTTCCGTGTTTCATTTTTACTACAGCTGCTTCAGGGGAAAAAAAATAATCTCATTAGACAACATGCCCATGTAATATTTCAGTCTCTTGAAATGTAAGTACAGCACCTTTTTTCATAACTAAAACTACCCCACTAACAAATCCAAATGCACTGAAATTGTTCTTCAATAATGTCCTTGGGAATTGAATTTCCATCCTTGGAAACATTCAAGGTCAGGTCGAACAGGGCTCTGAGCAACCTGATCTAGTTAAGGGTGTCCCTGCTCAATGCAGGGGGGCTGGACTAGATGACCATTAAAGGTCCCTTCCAACCCAAAGCATTCTATGATTCTGAATTGAAAGATTTATCTGAAGGGAAAATGCCTTTTCTAAATAATTTCCAGTCAGTACAAAGCACAGTAATATGCTTGGGAAGTCTCAGGAGAGGATAAAGTGTTTGTGTGAAAGTGCTTACAAAGGAGTTAGTTACTTAGTCCATGAAAAAACCTGCACTGAGTTTTAAATCAAGGTATTCAAGGTCTGTGTTTAATTAAGATAACTGATTCAAAGCACTTGAAAATCAATTTAAAAGTGTTTGCACAAAATATTATCACTAATTTAGTTCGAGTATGGTTATAGAGTAGGTAAGTGGCTAGATAAGGTTATAAACTTTCTGCAACACTGATTTAAAAGATTTGAAAGTTTTGGTTGCATTTGCTGAAATTTTCTCAAGTGTATCATTGCACGTATCTAGGCAAAATGATCTTGACTTAATTTTTGAATAGTTTTAATAGTGGCCTCTTGCTAACATGAGATTTTTCTTTCAGTTACTCCTTTAGCTTTATGTGGTCTACAAGCTTGGACAAATAACAAAAATAACACTCCAGTATAATGATAAGCAGGAGTACAAATCAGTATATTCTGTAATCAGCAAGACAAGTAAATTGAAAGCTAATGTATACCACATACTGACAAAAAATCATTGTCCTTTGATGGTTCCCTCCAAGTAGTTTCTTGTTTCCTATGGGCTGGTTGTCATCTAGTATTTTCTCCCTATTATACCTATACCTATTATGCATCTCTGTTTTATCTTTTTTTTTTTTTCCTGTTCTAGTCTTTCTTTAAATCCTGTAATGATTGTGAAGAGAAGAACAGAAAAAAAAAGTAGCTATGATTCTTTATATATATATTCTTTCTTATGTCTATCCAGAAATAGAAATCAGCCACTAATCTGAGTTGGCCAGTTAATTGAAAACAGTAGGAAACATGAAAAATCACAATCAACACTTCTTCCCAAACTTAGGTTGTCGTTCTGCTGCTTCTACTGAGCCTGTGTGGACAGTTCTCCCGTGGTTTCATTGCTATTGCTAATAGCTGGTGCTTTTCAGTGCTGCCTTAAGGGCTGTCCCTCCCAGGAGACCAGGGGCTTGCCTACCTGCTGGGGGTGGCTGGATCAGCGTGGGACACTACAGAGTATGTGTCTGAAAGTGTTGAGTGACATAGACAAAATGATGTTTGGCCAGAGGGAGTAAAATAGCATTATATTCTGTGACATTTTTCCTGGTTTTGTGGACCTAATAAAGTACTGTGGTACACTTAGAGCTGTGAACCTCCTGCAATGGAGGGGAGGCTCTGACAGATCAGTGCAGATACCTCTGATGTAGTATCCTCCATCAAGCACAAAAAAAAAGTAATGAATTGTATGAAGGATTAATGGTTTGAAGTTGTGTTGGATGCAAAGAAAATGGTAATTTCTTTTAGAAATGGATAGTGCTGCTGTCTCTTTGACAGTAGGATTTTATTTGCACATTGGTATTAACACTGTTCTCAAGATATCTTATGAGGGGATGGTTTATCTTTGTTGCTGAGAGGAGTTTGTGTCTAGGACATAAACCACAGCTGAGTTTGAAGGTTTGAAGGGATCATGAAGAGCTATGTGGGCCCATCCACCTGATCCACGTTATGCTGTCCTTCCAGGGCTTCAGTAGATACAAAATGGTTCAGAAGAGCCAGTGGCTGCCAGGAGTATAGCTGGAATTAGTCATTGTGAAATGGGGAGACAGTTCAAGGCTGCAGTTACTCTGAAGTGTACGTTTGAGGTGTGTGGGAGCTGTGTGAGCACTTGCAGCCAGAAGTGGGTGATACATAACTGCTTTTGTCATTGAAAAGCATCTGTGAAAGAGGGTCTCCTTCCTCTACAGATCTTGCAGGAGGGAAGACCAACAGTAACTACTCACCTTGCACAGGTTTGTGATACAGCTGGGCCACAAAAGAAAATGTTAACCCCTATCTGTAAAAAGCAGTTGTACTACTACAATTGTATTTGTAGTTGAAGTGGTTATATCCACCTTGTGCACATACAGAGTTGTAATAGGAAGGTGTGTTATAGTTCTGGTAAAGAAGGTACATTGATATTAAGTGTCAGGGAGCTAAGTAGTTATTTCAGACTTTTGTTTTCTAATGAAATACTGGGGATAGATGGGAATGAACAATATGTTACTATAGAATGTATATATATAAGAAAAAGGTGACATTTATTAAGTCTCATTAAAACAATGATAGAAATGAGCAGAGGTTTTATTCATTGATTTTAAAAATACACACATCCAAATGTATCATACCTATCTTTTTTTCAAGAAAAATGAGCAATGAAATCATATGTTAAGTGTACCAATCACCTTCAATACTGTTTCATTTGTTACTTGTTTATTGTCTAATGAAATAGTACCATACTGAAATTTATAGTTGCTTTGTCAGTCTAGTCTTTGCTGTAGCTCTTTGAGATGTTTCTGATATTGCTGTGATAAAATATTAGCTTCTAAATAGAATAAGTATACTGAAAATAGGAAAAAAAAAATTGAAAGGTTAAAAGATAAAATTGCTCTTATACCTCAGATAACAGAAGCAAGTATTTGTCATTGCAGCCCAGCAACTTCGTGAGACCATCTCACTTTACACTGTACTGTGAAACAACAGATTATGCAATAAGGGTCTTTGCTGGCTTGTGAGAGCAGACGACCTTCAGCAGGTTGACCAGTGTGACTAGGAAGACTATTTTGTTATTTTAATTTTTAGTCAAGTTTTTGACTAAGTTTTAGGTATTACTGAATGCCTTCATTGTGAGCCATACAATCCAAGCCTCCTTGCTGCTTCAGAAATTCTCGGTCCTTTTTTACTGGGGAAAGGGTAAAAGTTTAGTTTGTTGCAGGCTGGCATGCATTTTGGAGAAGCAACATGTGTCCGAACTGCTGAAGTGGCTGATTTCAGAGGAGGCTTTTGGCAGCTGCTTGAAATGTTGCTGCCATTCTCTTTGCTGCAACTGTTCGACACGTTTGAACTTCCCAGTTGGCTGAGCACGGATAATTCACTTCCTCCCTCTGACTCCTTGTGTTGCAGCATCCCGTTTCCCTTTGAAACCAGTCTCTGGTTGTCAAAACTGCATGGTCTGTCCTGGCACTGGGAGAGGTCCCAGGTACCTCCTTGGCAGGGGGCTTGGGCCAGGCGGTGAATTCCCAGGTGGGTTCTCCATGGTGAGTTGTCTTCTGCGTTGCTGCTGCTCATCTCCAGTCTGACCTTTCTGACAGGAACACGTTCTGTAAACGACTTCGATCTCCTAACTGCTTTATTAATTAAAACAGCACTGACCATTGATTCTGGGAGAACAGATTCATGCTCACCTAGAAGAGAAATGCATAAATGCATGTTACTACAGTGGCAGATATTAAGGGTGTAATTTCTGTGGCATAAACTCAACTGAAGAGCTTTAACAGATGAGTTTATCTGTACTGTCGGTGGTTGAGAGTAGTGCAAGTTCTTCTGATGCCAGGATATGGTGTAGAAATATTTCATGCTTGGTTTTGCAGTTCTGAAGACATAAATGGTACCCAAGGGTTAGTCAGATGAAAATGGAGATTTATCAAGTCAATATTGATCTAACCAGTTCTCTAAGACTCATTAACAACACAGATTGAGAATTGACTTTCAGTAATTAATTGCTTGTAAGCAAAAATTGTTAAGGTGAGAAAGGACTTGCTCCTTGTGTTGGTAGGTGTTGTGATTTGAAAAACAAAAATGTTCTGTCTCAAGCTGTTTGCAGTTTGTATTTGCAACTTAAAAATACTGTGATTGCTTCTAGATGAAACAAGTTGTGAATTTCTTCTTTTTCTTAATGAGGCAATTTAACATATAGGCCTGTATTTTAAGATTTTACTGCAATTTTACTATTGTAGTCAGTATAAATGGTGTAAAGTAAACCACTTAGCATACTAGTGTTGCTTAGAGGAAAAATCTGCATGCTCCACGAATGGTACAGAGTAGCTGTAATAGTTGGAGAGAATTTGGTCCTTTTTTTTCCTGCTATCCCTATAGCTTAATTTCTAAAGCAGTATGAAAGTTTCTCTTAGGAATGGGTAAGATATTTGGGATAGAAATGCTAATGCTATTTTAAATGGACATAGCAGACATCACATTACTGACCATGACTGGCTTTCTCTGCCTTGAAAACAAAGAGAAACTAAACCATTACACTAAACATAAACAGTCCTGTTGACATTGCAAGTACTAATGAAACATACTTCAGTGAGTATAATATAGTTTAAAGTAGGAGTTGTGCAGAAAACTCACCTAGTATATATTGTTGTGTTCTAGGAACTTTGCAGCATGAGTTAGGAAGTATATTAAAGTGAAAAAAGTAGACATAAAGGACTGATGATTATATTTGAAACAGAATATCTGAATAGCCATTTAAAGAGAATTGGATTGCAGAAGTTGAAATGAAGCTAGTTCAGATAGGATGTTGCCTTTAAAAAAAACCAGCAGCCCAACCTCCCCTTTGTAACTGTCTTTCATACCATCTTTGCAGGGAAATATTTGAAGATGTCAGGCAGACCCAGATTATTTACTGGCAGTAACTGAACCTGTACAACAGGGCTTCAGCTAGGGAGGGGCTTTCACTACTGTCTTTGGCTCCCACTGCTGAAGCAACACCACCAACACGGTATCATAGAAGTTTTTTCTGCTGAGTTGGCCACATAGAGTTGTTCTGAAAAGAGCTGGTTTTCAGTGTGGCTCTGAGTGAGAACTGTCAGCTCACATCTTCTGCTCTCCTGCAGTGTCACCAGGAGAAAGGAGACTGAAGCACATGCAGAGCTTAGAGATATGGATGTGGTTGTGCATCTGTCTATACAGAGATGTATGCTAACAGAATTTCCAGATAAGAACACACAGTTCTGTCCTGTAACAGGGAGAATCAAAGTTATGTCTGGACTTTGTCCAGAAAATAAAGCTGAGCTTGGGTGGCTACAAACAGTCCACTTGCAAAACAGAGCCCTGCGTGTTCTGGAGAACAGCACAATATAGCACCAAGCTACAAAAATTAGGGCTCATTCTATGTATGTGAGAGAAGAAGCAAGAGAGGAACTGAGAGACTGAGGTGATGCAGCTTTACATGTTCTTGTGGCTGTAACTGCACTCTTGGCTGAACTGGCATTGATAGGCAGCACCAGGTTTTGTCTTGAACGTTGGAGAATTACCATCTGGCTTGAGCTGATCAAAGAGTTCAAAGTAATGCATCTAGTCTGGTTTTCATAGTCTGGGCTGGTTTTGAGTTCAGGTTCATTTTGATTCCTTGGCTACAGGTGCAATGCACAAAATTGAGCTATGAGCTCAGACAGCAGTGTGAGTCCTGAAGCACTGCATGTTGAGTGCACTCTAAACCTCTAAAGAAAGCTTTTCAGCTTAGGACAGATCTTCGGTCCCTTTGTTTCTTGGGTTGGTTGGTTGTTGGTTTGGTTTAGCATTGAATGGATTGTGCACCATGGCCTTGTTGCAGGGTTACCAGCTGGCTTTTTTCATATGCTGTCATCACAGATAGTTACTTTTAAGGTTCTGGAGTGACAAAAGTTGATCTTCTTTCAAGTTAGCTTGGCAAATACTTGGAAGAGATTTCTGTAGGCAGAGCTCCTGTGTTTATTCTTTTGTGACTGCTTGTCCTGAGTGCTCCCATTTAATTCTTGAAGTAAATACTGTGTTTCAGCTTCTTAGCCAATAAATAATGAATACACTGCTGTACTGTCTCCTAGCTAGTGACTTTCAAATCTTGTCATGCTCTTTGTTCTCAAATCATCAGGAACAGTCAGAAATGTGAATGTAGCCGTGTGTATTGGGAAAGGAACAGGAGAAAGTTGTGTTCAGGTGACTTCTCAGTTACTACCCCACCAGTCAAAAACCTAGAGAAGTTTGAGAAAGTTAATTTCTGTTTAAAGGTCCACAGTTTCATGATTCTGGCAAACAGGTAGTGATGTACAAAGCTAAAAGTCCTCCAGGAAATTGAATTTACCATTCAGAGTGTGGTACAATAAGCCTGAAATGCTCAAAATCCCTGTGGTATGATGGAAGGACAGCTGGTTGGTCAAGCAGGAACAATTTAGGGGTTTACTAGTTAGAACAAAGACTTTTGGCAGGGATTTTTATGACCAAGAGGGACTGAAGGTGTCCTCCTTCCATGAGGTTTGAATCTTGTGAGGATTTTGTCTGGTCTTTGAGTTTGTGAGCATGTGTATGGTTCTGGTGGTGCTGCTGTTGTCCCCTGCCCAGCCCAGCCATAATTTTACCTTCTAGGTAGGGAAACAGTTTGCTGTCAATACAAAATACTGATGTATACTATACATGGACTGACTTTTGGTACTGGCTGGAATTTCTGGATAGTTAAGTGCAGGGCAGTAGACTGTCCTGATAGGGCAGTATTCATTTCTGCTTGACATATTCTTGGAACTGATGCCTATAACAGGTTCAAAGTGCTGAGCTGTTTAATAGGTTTTTTCCAGCTTTCAAACCACTGGAATGTATAAAAGCAACTTTCAGGACATTGACAACTCAGCATAACAAAAAAAAAAAAAAAAACAAACCCAAACTTCAACTGCTTCTAACAGTAACATGAATCCTTTCCACACAGGTTGTTTAAAGATAGAAGCTCAGTGCAGTAGGTTCTGTGGGTTTGTGGATATTTTGGGGTATGTGTATGAAAATGTGCATGTCAGCTTCTAGCCCTACAAAATTTTAAACTTCGCAGAAACTGTGCAACACTTTATTATATCTTTAATCTTCAAATGGTATCCTTGCAAAAAACTTTGCTCTGATTACATTTATTATGTCTGAAGCTACATTCGGATTTAATCTGAATACAGATTCTCCTTCCTTTCTTTAACTAACTTTCATTTAGCTGGTTCATCTTCAAGTTAGCTGCCTTTTCATATTTGATAAAATAAGCTTATATATATAGTTCTTTCTTCCTCACAGATTTAGATTCTTTTAATGTAAGAATTTCTAGACATTTGGATGAAAGAATATTGAAGAAACAAATCTGTTCTATAGTTGTTGATCATGCATTTTTAGAAATTGTTTTTATGCTATAAAGTCTGACAGAGACAGAATACTGGGAAACATAGATGAAAATGTAAAGAATTAAATAGCCAAAGTTCTGCATTTGTTGAGCTAAATACTAATATGTGAGGTAGATGAAGCAAGTTTTTCATACTGCAATTAAATTTAGAAGACAACTTCATTAATTGGCTTAGTATTCTTAATATCACTTCACTTTAACGTGCAAAGCTAAATATTTGAAAGTGCCTAATGTAGTTAAATACATATTTCTTTACACAATTAAAGAAGGGGAAAAGAGACAACAAGACCCAGAGTTTCTTTTTTTGATAGAAGCATTCAAGTGAGCAGAAGTGTTACAGAGCACATTGCACAAGTACACTGATGACAGACATGAAGTACGTGGCTCCTGTAAGTCATCATTTAATTTTAGAATTTTACTTCCCTAACATAAGACCTGTAAAACCTTATCCCAAATATGTTCATCTGTTTCAAATTCATGCTAGTGTTTCACTGGCATGAATTTAATCAATATAAGACCATCTGTGAGTGAAATGAATAAACCCCCAAAATCACAGAAAGGGAACTCACTTTATACTCCTCTTGAAGCTGAGTGTGAAAAGAACAAAGCTAGGAGTTATTAAAGATTTAAAGAAGTAGTCTTTACATCTACATTTGCATTTTTCTTCCTGTAAGTATAAGCATACCTGTTTTAAATACAATAATGTGTGACTGCAGCTTTTGCTTCTGTTTTATGTGGTCATATTGCTCCTCAAGTAGGCTTACATCCATCTTGGTTGGCTGCTTATCACCATCTGAAGCCTGTTGCTCTGAGGTATGAGTCACTGAAAAAATACCAGTCATATATTTGTAAGCCTTCACCATCTGTTCCAACAAGGAAGAAAAAGTCATGCAGAAGCAGGACACTTCCTTCATTGTGCTGGCTAAAAAGCAAATCAAGTGTGAAGCATCTGAAAGTTTCCTAAATAAAAAAGTAACTTTCTTCCAAGCACAGTGACTTCTCTGGGAAGCTGTGTGGTCTACTCTGAAGTTGAGGATTTCAGTCAGCTTGTTTTCATGCCGTGCATCTGAAGCTACTGCATACAGAGTTCATGATTCTGACTGGATAGTTGGATTTAATGTTGACTTAAGGCTGTGAGCATATGAACCTTTGCCAAAAGAAACAGTGAAATACAAAACCTCTTTGAAGGCAGTCAGGTGCACAAAGGGCTGGGTAATACTGGTTTATGTAGTAATGTAAATCCTTAAAGGGGTGCTGTCATGGTGACCTCCCCAAGACAGTAGTTCCACCAGGGAAGTCTTTCTTCAGGGTTCTTTCCCTGTATGTTTTGTCTTCTCCCCTCCACTCTCTTAACTTTCATCCAGTTTCATTCTTGGTGCTGCTGCTTGGGGCAGTGGTGTAGGAGGGGAGAATTTGTTATACCTTAATTTTCTGTTTACTGCTTCCTTTTAAGAACGTGTTAAAAGTATTCAGGCTGGGTGCAGAGTCAAACCAGTATGTGCCAGTGACACTTGGAACTGGGGGGCTGGGGACAGAAATGCCTGACTTGACTCACTCGGGTTTTCTGCCTTTCTGTAAAATGAAATAAACCATAGAAGTAATTGTTGTTACTGAGAGCTGAACAAACTCTTCAAACGCATTGTAAGCCACATTTTAAAACTTACCATGCATGTAATAGTATTCTCTAATAATGAGGCAAACATTTTAAAAACATATGGCTTTTGATCTTACCAAATAAATAAAGTACGAGACGATGTCTGGACTCTGAACTGCAAGTTTCTGTCTCTGAAATGAGTCCATCAGATACTGTTGCAAGGGCCCAAGAGAGTAGTGTGTGAAAAAATAATACAGTTAAACAATAGTTTTAACATCATTGTGCATCTGTTAGGTTCCTTGCAGTGAAAAATGTTGCATGAAAAAGACTGCAAGGGCAGCGTGTGGAAAGGTCAGCGTGTGTAAAGAGTGCCTGTGTGCTGTCTTCTTCCAGTTACTGGCAGAAATGGTGATGATTTGCATCATAAGTGATGTACTGAATAGGTTCAAATCCTGCAAATCTTGGGAATCCCTTTGGTAGTTGTGTGTATGCGGGTGATGGGACTGTAGCTGTGATGCATAGAGTTCTGGTAAGGCTCAGCAGGCTCACATGTGTAAGTCTGTTGGGATTCACTTAATTGCTTTTGCCTTCCCAATATGCTTGTCTTGCAAATCGTGTTGCCTACCTCAGCTGCAGTCCTTTTCTGCCTTAGCCAGGGAAAGAAGAGCAAACACAAGACTTTGTCAGGCACTGTAGCGTCTCTTTTGACCCTGGAAAAGCACATGTCATGTTAAGAGTTGTTGGGATGTATTGAGGCTTTGGTAGATACACTTAGATATTCTGCCTTCAGGAGTGACAAACACACACACAGTGCTCTGTGGAAAGGAGTACCTCAATTGCCTTGTTTGTTCAGTCTTTGGAGTTGTTGGCACATGGAGTCCTCCTGTGGACCTTCAGGCAGTTGGTTTATACATTGGGGCAGGAGATTTAATTAACCTCATTATAGTTAGAGCTGGAATTCAATACAAACATTATTAATGGTCATAAAAGTTACCCAACCTTTTTAAAATTCCAGTCACACTGTTTGACTCGCTGACCTCCTGTGAAAGTGACTTGTGCAATGTGACTTTGTTGCAGGAAGAATTATCAGGATAGCATCCTTGAGCATGAAATGTAGCCTCTGTCTAAAAGATGTATCCTTAACTTCTCATTAGAAGAGCATTTAAAGTATAGTGAGTTGGTATCTGATCAGAAATTATTTGTGCTGTACCCTTCCCTCAGGATCATGGAAAAGCCATCACACTTAGTTACACAAATATACACAAATACAGGACAGTCTCTTCCCAAACAGTTCTATGGATAAGCAGCAAACCCAGAATCTGGGAAAAAAAAAACCCTGAAGCCCAGTGAAATGAAGTGATTGAGTCCAGATGGCACAGCAGAGCAGTGGAACCAGGAACAGGATTAGCTTTTGTTTTGCCAAGCCAATGCCAGATACACGGCAGTTTGTTCCCTTTTCAGGGAAAGCTTGTGAGCAGGGCATCTTGACTGAGCCTCAGAAGATGTATATACACAAACATAGATATATATACACATGTTTTTATACTTTGCTATCAAGGCTTGTGTGTCTATACATGTGTGTGTGTTTCAGGAACAGTTTGCAACAAGGATATGATTCATAAAATAAGTTGCAGGTCTAATCTGTATGGTATCATAAAGTAGACGCAGTTAATTGCAGTTTTGTTGTGTAGTGACCTGGTGTAACTGATCCCTGTTGCACCACTGACATCAGCCTAAAAATGAATTACCTGTGGGTTCTGTTCTTATACTGTAGTGGAACAACTTCCTTTGTACTTCCAGCCTGCTTGGGTATTATTAATTAAAAACAAACAAAAAATCCCACCAAAAAACCAACACATACTGTCATGCATACACGAAAAAATGTGACTTCTGTTAAACTGATCAATCATTCAGTCTTTAAATTGCATTACTTGGCTCTACAGACCACTGTATACTTTTAAGATCTGCAGCAGGTGGCACTATTGGAGAAGTATGACTATGTTTGCCTTAGCTCTTACATGTTAGAGGCCTCCATCTGGCTTGTAGGTTGCCGAGGACTGTAAGCAGTCAAGCCCTTTCCTACCACTGGCACACGTATTTCCTAATGGTACTATAAGTTCTGATAATTTATTGCCATGATTAGGTCTGTGTAAAAACTCGTCTGTATTTAATTGAACAAACTTCTCTTCAAAACATCCTCTATGAGTGATTTTCTTCTGATTATCCACTGAAGTGCTGTATTTCCCTTAAGTCTGTTCTTCCATCACACAATGGAAGCAATCCTTCATTTCCTTGAGGCAAAAAAACCCCAATTGAGAATACTTCATAATCCAAAACCAATGGCTTTTAGAACTTGAAGTAGATGTTTACTGCCCTTGACCTTGGTTGCAAAAATCTCATTTAAAAAGATGCAACTAATTTTATCTCATACTAATTAATTTGTGAGTAGTAAATTAGTTTTTTATTACTAAAAAAAAATTGTTTGGAGGGCCTTATAGGAATAATTGTTGATTTAAAGATAATTAAAAATGCTCATAGTGGTTAACTGACTGAATGCACTTCTGTAACAATGGATTTTACTGCCCACCTGAGACCAGAGGTATATATAATTATTCATGTTGTTCATGTGCAGAATTATAGGCATGTCCAATACTTTTCATGCAGGTTGCAAAGACAGAAAAGTAGTACCTGTAGATTTTAACTGTCACTGAAAAGGAAAAATCAAAGTTACTGTGATAATCCCCTTTCTCCAGCTTCCTACAGTGCTAGTCTGTTATTTAAATGCAGTGTTGAAGTGTTACGAAGTGACTATTTTGTTGGTAGAAAGTGTAATAACAAAAAGAAAGGTGGAAAAGGTGGCTGCTGTTATTTGGTTTCCAGACAGGTTTTGTAGAATCAATAGTAATTGTTTACTTTTTAATGAGATTTTTGATAAAAGCACATCTACTTCTGTTATTTGAAAGCACAGACTTAAAGCATGCCACAGTTAGGGACTGGTTAAGTAGTTGGAGCACGGGACTCTCATGATGCAAGGTTATTTTTTGGTGCTGTCTGCGTGTCCATGCTAAGGGGATGCAGAAGCCTATGAGGCAAGTTTTCAGTGTCATCTTGAGATACGATTTCTGATCTGACCTTTCATGTGCTTTCAGAGATAAAGGGTTTAAGTGTGTCAAAGGGAAGGTAGCCCAGCTGTCTTTCCAGTCCCTCTGAAGGTTTGGTTTGTGTCTTAGTAGCCCACCTTCACATTTCCTTGATAGGATTCTACTTTCCCCTTTTATCCCTTATATTATGTATATATCAATTATCTATATATCAAAAAGAAATCAGGAATGTCATTTTGTTAGCTAGTCTGCAAATGTTGCCTCATTAGTACAGGCTGTAAAACAGCTTGCCAAATTTCTATTCCTTAGATCCCTGAGGTTCCCAAGTGACTGAATGCAGTACCACTGATCCAGACCTAGTGACTGGGGGTTTTGTGAAACAGCGGTGTGCCAAGAGTGAAGGAGAATCTGTAGAAAGCACCAAATGGCTCCAAGTTCAGTGGTGAACTCTGGCACCTCTGATCCTGCACTCTGCCTGGGTGTCTGTAAAGGCTGAAATCAAGGACACCAAGTTAGCACTGAGGATTTCATACCCATGTGCTTTGACTTTAACATTGGTGCTATCCAGCTCCCTTTGCAGAACCACATTTTTTTTTTTGTGGATGGTAAATGCAGTCACACTGAAGTCACTGGATTCATCTTGGTCAAACTGAATTGTGCTGGTTGTGTGGAGTTGAACGCAGCAGATGTTCTGTATGTGGCTTTTTGTGCCTGGCATAAGCAATGTTTAAAATCCTCTGTTCGTCTCTCTTGAGTCTGTTGGTGCTGAGGACTAAATCTTCCTCTGGAGTGTTACTTGCTGCAGCAAGTAAACTAAAATGCTGAAATGTGCTCTGTCGGGGCTGCTCACTCTGTTAGTTGTCTGCACTGTTAGGAATGGAATCTCTCATGCTGTGCAGCATCCAAAATGTAGGGTCAGGACCTGTTGTCCATTTGATAGTTCTGCTATCCTTGCCCACTGAGAACTTCTGAGCTTCCCTTTTAGACGTGACGATGTGCAGAGGCAAGCCTAAGAAGAAACTGAAGGTATTTACCAGTTGGAGATTTTAAACAAATGAACCCTGACATCTTCCCTTACAGTTTCCCTGGCTTCCTTCTTAGTTCATGTGTTTCTTAAATGAGTGTGACAAACAAGATGGTCAGGTTTACTCCATTTTGGCCTCATAGAACTGTCCATAAGAAGAGGGTAAAAGGGAACTGAATGGCCTTCATTAGTCCT